GAGAGGGCTGAAAGCCCTATGAAGTGGTATATAAGTCTAACTGCTATTGCTATTGCTATTTAATAAAAAGAATGACTTTTTAATGAAAAGAAGGATGAGGGGTGACCTGATAGCAGTGTTCCGATATCTCAGGGATTGCTGCAAAGAAGAGGGAGTCAAGCTATTCTCCAAAGCACTTGAAAGCAGGACAAGAAGCAATGGATGGAAGGCAAGAAGCAATGGTTGAAACCTAATCAAGGAGAGAAGTAACCTAGAACTTAGAGAGAACCTCAAAATTTCCTGACAGTTAGAACAGTTAATCAGTGGGACAACTTGCTTTCAGAAGTTGTGAATGCACCAACACTGGACATTTTTAAGAAGAGATTGGACAACCATTTGTCTGAAATAGTATAGAGTTTCCTGTCTAAGCAAGGAGTTGGACTAGAAGACTTCCAAGTTCCAACTGTTATTCTATTTGTTTAATACTATCCATCCATCCATCCATCCATCCATCCATCCATCCATCCATCCATCTATCCTTCCATCCATCTATCAATCCATCCAAGCTCACTTATTGAAACAGTTATGAGTTTTTTTATTTCCTTTCTTCTAGGCAGTTGATTGAAAACATTTATGTAGGATCTCTCTATGAAGATATAAACCCAACTAACAATTATGTTCACCTCATGATTTCACAAGTTCTACTCCTAGTGTCCAGAAATAAGAAGACCAAGCTGGCTGCTTCAATGAAGGAGCAGTACAGGTTTGGCATTTTCCTTCCAAAGTTCTATCTTGAAGTTCTGTTTATGTTGATAGTAACATGGAATCTTCTAAGCCAGACAACAACCCTTTGTGGACCTAGAAGCCAAATCCAGGTTGTTCAGTGGGATGCTGAAATCCAGGACTAGCATTGTAGCTTATTCTGAAATGCTATTCATTTCATGCACAGAATCAATTAGACAGGCATTGCAAAAGGTCACAATATGTGTTGTGATGACAGCAGCAGGAAGAGTAGTTGTGATTTGTGAGCACTGGAATTTAAAAAATAAAATAAAACAAGGCTGAACAAAAAAAAAACACATCTCCACTTAAGTCAGGAGGGTACCAGAACAAATTTTCAAACAATGTGGTCTTGATAAAAATAAATTGAAATGGAGACTCAAAAGACTCAAGTCTTTCCAAAGTACTGAAATAAAAACTGAAATAAGAGATGCTCATTTAGAACATATAGGTTTGAACTTGAAAGAGACCATGTACTTCAAGAAGATACTTAAAATGGTTGATGAGAGAAGCACTTAAAGATATGGAAGTTTTCTTCCAAAAATTGCCATTTTGCCCAAAGAGAACCAAAAGCTACATGAACTTTGGCAAAAGAAGTCCATGTTACAGTCAGAAAAAAAGCATAACAGTATAGAGCAAACTATATTAAGATAAAAATAAAAGTATTCTTTAAGTGGATTTAAGTCAGGAAACTAAGATTGTTGAATGATTAAAGGCGCTAAAGGAAATAAGAGAAATTACTGTGAATGTGTTGCTTTATTCCCACTGTTGTGAATGTCAAATATGTGTCCCTGCCTAAGTTAACTTTTACAGAATCAGATGATCTGAGACAAAAAAAGAGATAACAAAGATGGAGTTATAAACATAATGGATAAATTAAAAATAAACAAATGTCAAGGTCAAGATATTATTCATCTGGGATTTCTTTGAAAAGCAAGATGTGGAAAATATGCAACTACTTTTCAAAGTCAGTGTCTGTGCTTGGGAACTGGAAAACATCCAGCTCCAATTTTTTTTTTTTTTAAAAAAGAATCTAGAGTGATGTAGAAATTACAGTGCAATTAGCTTAATGCGTATTTGAAATAGAAAGCATTATTAATGAAAAACTAATTAAATATATAGAATTGCCCTTGCTAAGAAATCAATATGGATTCTGGAATGGTAAATTTCATCTCAATTACCCTCTAGATTATTCTGAAGGTGTCAACAAGGCAGTAGAGAGTGGTGATCCAGTGAAAATTGTAAACCTGACCTTTCAAGAAGTATTTGCCAAAGTCCCTGCCACTGGCTCTTAAACAAGCTCAGCAGCTGTGGAACAGAAGGTCAGGTGTTCTTCTAGACTATAAACTTGGCTAAAGAACAAGAAACAGAGAGAAGGTGTAAGTGGACAATTTTCAAACTGGAGTTGCATTCAATGTGATGTCCCACAGAGACCACTCAACTTCTTTATAAATGATGGAGTTAGAGATGCCTGGTTTTTGGCCAAGTTTCCTGCTGCTAAATATTAAACTACTCAGCTTTGCAAATTAAACAAAAGGATTATGAAGATTTCCAAAAGGCTCTCTCCAGATTGGGTAAACAAGTGTGGGTGTGAATGTATTCCAGGCAAGAGGATTCAAAATCATGCTAACTAGGGTTGTATTCCGGCAGGCCCTACGGCTGCTTCACTTGTGTGCACACTGTGAACTTGATGCATGCTGCGTACGCATGATCGGTACAATAAAATTTTTCTGCGCATGTGCAGAAGCAAAAAACAAGATAGTGGTGCCAAAGGCTCGGGGGCGGGGCAGGCCTGGGTTGCTGCTGGTTCCAGCGACCCAGGCCACCAAACCACTACCAGTTCGGCCAAACCGGACTGAACCTGGCCGAACCAGTAGGGACCCACCACTGATGCTATCTGAATCAAACAACAAAAACAAGAAAAGAAATCCAAGAATATATAAATGGATGTAATGTCTGGCCATGGAAAGGACTGAAATCATTGTGGGTAGTCCAATTAAAATGTCAACTCAGATAGGTTCTTAATGGCAGTCACTGTCTAGTCCCTAAAACACATTACACGTACAGAACAAATATTAGCTATTAAATCAATTATTCTTTTTCTTCACAGCAATAAACTGCTGAGTTATCAACTTAGTATATAATGCTGTTAAGAAAACAACCTCACATGAGAACATTAGAATGTTAAAAGATTCAACAGTAATACTAAACAGCACTGTTTGATTAGGGTGTTGTGGGCTCTTCTATAGAAATTGTAGATGCAGTGTTGCCAATGCCAGCAATGTAAATCAACCCTGATTTGCTTTGCTTTGGGTACTAAAATTCATACAGTGCCTAATTTGATTTAGTTTTATGATCTGAAGGCAAAGCGATTTAAGTAAGATGAGAAAAATATGCAACTTCTCTTTGAAATGGTTTGTCCATTGGCTGCAACTGGCTGCAACATCAAAGTGCCTTCTATCCCCTTTTGGCAAAATTGGATGAAAATTGTGCAATGTGGGGTTGGTGTAATTTTATTGCCTTTAACCAATGTCTTGTAAGTGTGCCAGGAAGGTTGGCAAAGCTGGTTGGCCAGCTTGGTTGCCCCCGGGAAGGATCCCCTCATCACTGCCAGGTCTTTGTTGTGTCAGAGTTGTGTCTTTGTGCATGGGCCAAGAGAAGAAGCTGGCACAGTGAAATTTAATGCAGCAAAGATAGGAACACCACAGAGAAAGAAGCTGGCACAGAATAAGTGGCACTTATAGACTTGCTGATCCCTATTTTTTAAAAAAGTAAATATTAGAGCCAATGCCTATCTTAGCTTGGCACTCCTTGTCAAGAAACTTGAATCTGACTCACTCATGCAGACTTAAAAAAAAGTCTTGGCTTAGGAATATTAATTGGACTGATCAATCTTCTGCCTAGAAATGTATCATTCCATTAGCATCACATCATCTATTGCCTGTAACATCTCAAAATCAATCAAGAATTTATCTAGCCCACACCTTCCAGTGCTGCAAACCACTTCACAGCTACCTGATTTGCCACTTCAAAGCAGGTCCCATCCTTAATTTATGAATTTGCTTCAAAGAGATAATTCCCTTCAAACTTTGTTGATGTTCCCCACAATCCCAAGATGTGCACAATTCTGTTCTCCAATCCATAATGCATTCATTGCAAAAACAAATGGGTAATAAACCATCACATTTTGAAGCCAAACTCATTCTATCTTGGTTTGCATTTGTTTGTCTCAGCTCATTTTCATCCTTGCTAAGATTATCCCTTGCTATCCCTTGCTAAGTAAACTGCTGCTCATAGAATTCTATCAGCATCCTTCTTTATCAGTGTTTTATCAGTGATACCATCATTGGAAATATACTTTTTAAATTCTTTTGTTGTAGCACAGGTTCCTTAAAATGAAAAAAAAAAGAATTGAAGGTCATGCTAACTGCAAATGTTAGTTAGAAAGTCATTGTCAAGATTAGCCTATAGGGATCTTCTACCTTGAACATTTTGAAATGACTAATTGTTCATTATAAAATATTATTTTGCACCCATTAAAAATAGAATATAATTGAATGTCTTGTTCTATTGGCACAAGACCAGTGAACCATAAATCTGCAAGCACATTTTGGGATAGTGCTCAGCATTAAAGGTATACATTGTGATTAGACACTGTGCAAAGAAAAGAAAAAACCTCCCTTTCATCATGCAAAAGAGATGAAAAAACCAAAATGGCACATCATTGTTTCAAACAATTATAGCTGATTTGTTTCTAAAGATGCATAGGCGCATATTTTGTTTTATTTTACTCACATAATCTTCCAGGGCATAATTCAGCTGATATTTTTTTTTACATAGCTACAGGATCCGAGAAACAAATTGGAAATGATTTCCTTTCATTAAATATAACACCTTTAATATAAAAAGAAAGAAAGAAAATTGCCATGCACTTACAGTTCAGTAACTCTATAGAAAATATGGTTTAGAATCCTTATTGCTTTTTGCAAATTCTAGTTAAGCAATGAATGAAAATGGAGCCTTACGACACATAAGAGCAAGGATGTTGTATTCGGTTGAGTTCTACATTCCTGAGGAGAGGCAAGTTGGAGCCACAGACAATCATATAATGCAGCACCATTTCTTCCTCAACCTCCTCCCCCCCCCACTCTATTTATGACACACTTATTTTACCCCAAACAGAGGGCTTCAGAGAAAGGAAGATACAGTAACTCTTAAAAGTCTGACCCTATGGGGATAGAAATGATATCAAAGCCTGATTAAAATTAAGTCAAGAGTCACAGGAAGCTCTCTCTTGCATTATAGGGACCATTTTACTGTTTTTTTGGTACGTAAATGTTAGATCGGGTAAAGGAGGCACAGTAGCAAGGGTGGGTTTCAGGCGGTTCGCGGCGGTCCCCGCGAACCGGTTGGTC